TAGAATTGACATGACTAACTTGTCAAATAGTACCAAGTGTCCATTTTCACGACTTTTAAGACAGACTCAAGGAATGACTATAAATTCGGCCCTAAATTATGGCCTTGGATGCTGACAGTCTCGTGACTGCCATTAATAAAAGTAGATTTCTGTCGAAAATAATAATAGGATTATTAACCTAGAGGGCACGCTTTTCGTTTAAATTTGAAGTACCAGTTTGGTACCAACACTTTTCGTTGGCTATTTTTTGAAGGGAAGCTCTGCTTGCTCAGCATGACCTTTTCTTTGTTCCTTTGCCGTTCGCCCTGAAAGGTCGATCCTGGCCTAGAGGCTGCCATCTTCCTCGAGTGTGATTACCATTCCCGTGGAGAAAGGACCTTATCGGCCATCAGGCATTATTTTAAAGAAATAAAGTTGCGTAAGGCCATAATCCATTATTTACCGAAAACATTTATGTCGAAAGTCTTGTGCGGTTTTTATGGCAACAGCTTCCAAAGATATATGTGAGTGTTCGTATTACAACTGCATTGTACACGCGAAGTTTGGTCTTGGCGCTGATGTCCTGATTCTTGAAGGCTCTCTCTAAAATCGCCCGAACACCGCGCTTGTCTTTTCCAAGTTGAGCTCTAGGCCGATTCTCCAATATGCCTGGTTGAAGGCATTGATAATTGTCTGGAGATCTTCCTCTGTATTGGCCATCACGGCGTTATCATCAGCATATTCAAGTTTAATTATCGATATCGTCGATACTTCGTCTTAGCTCGTAATCTGCTTAGGTTGAATAAGCCTCCATCAAGTCTGTACAGGATTTCCACTCACTCGACAAGTTGAAGTATGGATCTTATAAATTGGGAAAATAAAATGGGTGCAATAATAACACAGTTTAACACCTGTAGACTCTCCTTGTCCATTGTTGCTTAGAATGGTTGCATTCATATTATCATGCAGCAGGCGGAGTATCTGTATGTACTTTTGCCGGATACACAACCTGTGTCAATATCTTCCAAAGAGCTTCTTTGTTTATCGAATCAAATGCTTCCACTAAATATATGTATAGAGGGCGATTCTGCCTCCTGGATTTCTCTTGCACTGAAAATCATGTCAGCTGTACTTCGGTTGGGTCCCACACTGTGTGTCTGGGAGATTCTCTTCGGCAATTGGGATTAAACGATTTTCTAATATCCTGGCAAGAATCACTCCCCCAACAGAAAGTAAACATATTCCTCTGTAGTTTCCGTAATGGGCCTTGTCTCCCTTTTTGAAAATGTTTGCTATGAAGGCACCTCTAAGTTTGGCAGGTATCTATATTCAACTTATAAGGATGTGGGTTTGGACACTTAGCACTTATTGTGGGGCCTCCTGGTTTAAAGAATTCAGCAGGAATGCCGCCAGTACCAGCTAACTTACTGTTCTTTAGTTTTCTAATTGCCTTTACAACCTCCTCTAATCTAGGAACCTCTATCAGTTCTTGTTGTATTGATTTGTGTGGACTTTTGTTGACGATGTCATTTTTGATTCTCTGCGTTGAGTAGTTCCCGAAAGTGTTCCTTCCAGCGAGAATTAGTGGAGGAACTGTCTTTAAGCAGTCTTGTGCCATCTTTGGATCGTAGGGGATTGAATCCTTGAGTGGTTGATCCGTAAGGTCTCAAAAATTAGCACAACGAAAATGACACACATCAGAAAAACTAGAGTACTTAATTCCGGCCTATTTAGTGCTAATTTAGTATAAGAAAAAAATATATATAACTCTACTTTTAAAAAAAATACATGCATGTGTGCCAGCTTAAGATTAAGCTGGCACACTCTAGTTGGATAAGGTCGAATCTTCGAAAATCTAGTACCTCATATCTAGTGCTAATTTAGTACATTCATGTCACGCCTAAAAAACTAACAATAATGTATTTATTACAGAATAACCACAAAAAAGTGCTAACTTAAGACTTGAATCAGCACACATAGATCGAATCGACCGCACGAGAACGGAATTCGCATGCACATATTTAGTGCTAATTTAGTACTTCAAAAACGACGACCCGAAACGAACTAGTATCACATCAGCACAGAGCTAACCCAAACTAACCCAAAATAACCCGAACTAACCCAAACTAACCCGAACTAACCCAAACTTACGTCCGAAATTAGCACTAAAAGTGTGCTAAATTAATACTCTAGTTTCATCGCGTCATCGGTGATAATGTTTGTTAACTTAAACACTAAGCCAGCACACAAGTGCTAGCCTGTGCTGATGTGATACTTATTCGTTTCGGGTCGTCATTTCTGAAGTACTAAATTAGCACTAAATATGTGCATGCGAATTCCGTTCTCGCGCGGTCGATTCTATCTATGTGTGCTGATTCAAGTCTTAAGTTAGCACTTTTTTGTGGTTATTTTGTAATAAATACATCATTGTTAGTTTTTTAGGCGTGACATGAATGTACTAAATTAGCACTAAATATGAGGTACTAGATTTTCAAAGATTCGACCTTATCCAACTAGAGTGTGCCAGCTTAATCTTAAGCTGGCACACATGCACGTTTTTTTTTTAAAGTAGAGTTATAAATTATTTTTTTCTTATTAAATTAGCACTAAATAGGCCCGAATTTAGTACTCTAGTTTTTCTGATGTGTGCTATTTTCGTTGTGCTAATTTAAGGAACCATGGTCCGTATACCATCTTAGAAGCCTGAAAGAAGACCCTGGTGCTGTTGGATTCAGCTAGTTGCTGCATCTTGTATGATTTTCTTATCTCATTGTCCTTTTAATGCTTGCTTTAGTCTTTGAGCTTCTGCTTTTGCTTCCTGGTATTAAATTTTTTTTACCAGTCGAGTTGGGGTAGCTTTTCCATCCATTACTTTTCTTTTTCTTTCTATAAGGTCTTAAATTTCCGAATCGTTCTCATCAAACCAGTGTTGATGTAGCTGACCGTTTCTTCCGAAGCAGATGTTATTGAGGTCTCCAGTATTTTCCAGTGCTCCTCTCAATGCTTTCCGGGTACTCTAACGGAAGTATCTGACTAACAGAGGCTTGGAAGTTTCTCCTGATATGATTGTCTTGAAGGCGTTCCATGTTAAATTTGCGTTTGAACTGCTTTTTTTGACATTTGGTGGGATGCGCAAGTTCATTCTGACTCGTATCAGCCGATGCTCAGTCCAGCAGTCATTCGCACTTTTTAAAGCTCTTGTAATGCATTTATCATTTTGATCTCTGGAACGTACAATTATATAATTGATTATATGCCAGTGCTTTGGCCTAGGGTGTTGCCAGAAAGTCTTGAATTTTGTCTTTATGCCGAAAAAGTGTATCTATTCGTTGTTCAAACACGAAATATAGCAATAAGACAGCACCTACAAAAAAGCAAAGAATGGCATAAACTAGACAAGTGAAACAAATATGAAAAACAAGAATGATGTGGTAGAAGATATTTCTCTTTATTATATATTATATTTTCTTTATGTGCAAACATCTGGTAACGTAACTTAGATTATATTTTTTCTGATTTAAGGCCGTTGTCAGATAATATAAACTCGTCGTTTCGCCTTGCGAAAATTTCATTTTTCAGCCGCAAAGCTCCATAAAAATTGCGCGACATTTCTCAGTCCGATAAGATCGTCGCTTTTAGACGGTTCCCGTTTTAATTCGGCGTATTACGGAAATCCCTGGTGACCTAAATTTTGTGAAAAGCTAATTTATGAAATAAAACACTTTAGCACTGATATTTTTCCTTGACAGTCAGCTTTGCAAACGTATATATTTCAATTTTTTTTTTCTAGTACCTACATATTATGTATAGCTACTTCAAATTGAAACTCCCTCATGCGATACAATTTATGGCATAACAAAAACTAAAACATAAATACTCCGATTGGAATAATAAATTGAAGCGAATCGACTGAATAAACCCGTTGATTAGTTTAGTAATTGCTATTTATAAAAGCCAATTGAAAGTTGGCAAATGCATCTATTTAATAACGTATGTGGTGATCGCCAATTCAAATTAAACTCTGGATTTTTTTGGTAGTAGGATCGAATTAAAGCATAGGTAACATCCTTTCGGTAGGGTGTTGCATCATTACCAGTTGCTCAGAGCGATTTCTTGTACCTGCGTACCTACGATTCATTACCAGCTCTTGCACTGGGTTCTTATAATTGAATCATATCGTCGTCTTGCATACGAAAACGCGTATCTCAAAAAATCGACTTTTTTAGATATGTCGTTATATATATGTCTTTGGTCGATATTTTGTTGCTGTCAAACGGGCATATCTTAATCATTATGCCCTGCGGCGTTATTTAGAAAAGTAATTTAGGCGAAACTCAATACAGGATATTATAGAAGCAGACAAAAATGCGGATCTCAATTAGGCCCTTTTGTTTGCTTTATTATATTTATTGCCGTTGAGTTATGCCCTTTTAGTTTTATAATACACCAATCTGAACAGTCTAGGAAAAAAGAAGTATTTGTTTTGTAGTTTTGAGGCAAAACAACTTTTTTTTTTAAATAACCTTTGGGTATTTATTGAACAAATTCTATCAAATTTATCATATCGGCTTTTTTTGTAGGCTTTAAAAAATTTGAAAAATCTTTTGAAGGTATATTTTGTTGAATTTTTAATATTCAGTTGCATCTTGTTCCCTAAACAATTTTGATGAGAGTCTCCTTAACTTGAATAATTTTTCTTTTGTTTCAAAATAAAAAATGTAACAAAATGGATGTGTTAGTGCGTTGGGACGATCAAACGCTAAATGTCGTGCACTCTGATGAACTTATTATTGTAAGTAAAAAACAACGCAAATTTAGACAAGATGTGAAAGTCAAAATGTTGTATAAGAGAAAGTGGTATTTCGGGACAGTACCTACTACAGTGTGACAGTGCAGTGACTCAGATTCAGATTGGTCATTAGCAGACAATTTACCCCTTTCTCGCTTTTATAAGAAGCCAAAAATTAGCCAAGAAATCACATCAACTAAAACTGCAGCAAATGATCTAGTTCTTTCAACAGAAAATAAAACTTTAGTGTCTGATCGAGTTCAAACTACAGAAAATGCCAGTAAAGCTAATTTAGTTCCATTAGACAATGATCAACAAGAAAACGACGACGTATCCAGTGAATTTGAAAACGATGATGATCCAGATAAAGATCCTAACTACGTAGATTTGTGTTCAGTGCTCAAATGCAAAAAAGAAGCTTTTCATTTTTGCAAAGAATGTGAATTAAATACATGCAAATTTCATTTGAAACAGTCAGAATGTTGCCAGCATAATACTACTGTAGCCAAAAATAAGTTCCCTAACATTAATTTTAGTACACCTATATCAGAAGAAGCAAATAAAGTGTGTTCAAATTCGGCAGATGAAGGAAAGAAAAGTCGTCAAAGTCCTACCAGGTTTGCCCAAACATGCGAAACACAAGATTGTCAAAACGAAGTATCGAGTGCATGTACTACATGTCTAATACTTCTTTGCTGGGACCATTTTTTAGCCTAAACACCGTGTGCCACACATAACACTCATTTTAGAGCCGTCTTACCATCTACACTCAACTCTACTCCTTCAGAAATCGCTTTAGATAATTCAGATAATTCAGCGTCGGCTGATTTTAGAGCACCTGAGGAATATATCGTTGAGGGATCTAGAAGAGAAATAGAGAAGCAGAAGGTTACGAAAAAAGCTACTTACAAAACCGTTCAGAAGCTAAGACAAAGTGGAAAACCTTACATCAGACCAAGAACAATGAATTTAGTGCCACCAAAAAGACTGAAAGAATATTGTAAAGGAGAGACCTGCAAAAGAAATAAAAAGAGATGCCACGATTTTAAAGAGGAAGATCGACAACAGCTGCTAAATGCCTATTATGAATTAGAAAGCATTCAGCTTCAGAGAGAGTATATCTGCCGTTACGTCGATAAATTCGAAACTAAGCAGAAAACTACAAAAGACAATAAATCACGACGCAACTTTTCTTTTCACTACTTTTTACCTCTTCAAAAGGTGCCCGTCCCGGTTTGTAAGCCTTTCTTCCTAAACACATTGTCAATTAGTGAAAAAGTTATGCGTAACGCAATGGAAAAGCTTCAGTCAAGTGGGATAGTTGAAAAGGACAAACGAGGTGGACGACAAGAATCCATGAAGATCAAGGATAATATTGTAAGACAAGCAATGCAAAACCACATAAATAGATTCCCCAGAGTCGAATCACACTATTGCCGCAAGAGTTCCTCTAGGGAATATCTCCACCCCGATTTAACAATTCCTTTAATGCATAACATGTACCTTCAGTTATGCAATAAAGGTGAAGAAGGTAGCATAGATACTTATCGACGTGTATTCAAGTAAATGAATTTATCAATACATAGACCAAAAAAGGATGTATGCAGCTTATGCATTACATACAATGAGGGCGACACTGAGAAGAAAGTGGAATTGGAAGAAAGATATAAGGCACACATAGAGAGAAAGGAAAAAATTCGAAAAATAAAGCAGCAGTGTAAAGATCAATCTATAGCTGACAAATCAATCTTAAGTGCAGTGTTCGACTTACAACAAGTCATTTACCTTCCAAAATCAAACGAAAGTGCAATATTCTATAAAAGGCGTCTAGCAGTTTACAACTTTACAGTATACAACTTAGCCACCAAAGACTGTCATTGCTACACATGGAGTGAAATAGATAGTAAAAGAGGTTCCTCTGAAATTTCAACATGCGTTTATAACTTTCTGCAGCATTATGACGAGAAGGGGACTGTAACAGTTAATTTATTTTCTGATGGATGTGCTGGCCAGAACAAAAATTCTATAGTTGCCTCGATGCTACTTTATTTTGTCACCAATAGCAAAAACGTTGAGCAAGTCAGTCTGAAATTTTTTGAACCTTTCCATGGACAAAGTGAAGGAGACTCCTGTCATAGCACCATTTCTACCGCAATGTCTCATTCAGGGAACTTGTTTGTTCCATCGCAACTACTGCCTATTTTCAAATTAGCAAGAAGGAAACAACCTTACATTGTAAATAAGATGGAACATACTGATTTCTTAGATTTTAAAGATTTATCAAAAAATTTACGAATTTTGAGTATCCGTGAAGACGATAACAAAAACAAAGTGAACTGGACAGATATCTCGGAGTTTAAAGTTGAAAAGAAAGAGCCCAATAAAATGTTCTACAAGTTATCCCATTGTGATGGAGCCTACAGAAGCATTACCCTAAAACGGAAACAGGAAAATATTTTTAATTTGCCTGTTGAGAAGCTGAATAAGCAAAGACCCAAAGTGACAGCCATTAAGTACGACAACTTAGTTTCACTGTGCTCTGGAAAGGACCCGGTGGTAAAATCTTTTGACCACATTGCCTTCTACAGATCGCTTCCTCATGAGTAAAATGCTAATTTTTCATTGTAGGAACATTTTGCTGGAAGTTTAGTTTAATTATTCCAACATTATTTCAAAGTTTATTATTAATTTCTTTGTACCTAAAATATATGTTTACATTATATTAACGGGGCGTATTTTTTTACCCATCTAAAGATCCAAAAATTAGCAGCACACAGAAGGGCGTATCTAATTTTTTTGAACTTTTCCCGCTTTTTTGCATAATGTCAAAGATATTTATTCAAAACATATTTAGTGTTTAGCATATGTATTCTTTTTCGGACTGAAAAAACTAAACTACAGCCAGAAAAATCTTATTGTATTCTTGTGGCAGAAGTTTTGATTGTATAAAGAATTTGAAACCGCTCTCCTGCAAAATTCGCATTTTTTAGATACGCCTTTTCGTGTGCAAGACGACGATATGTTATGTCGCTGTTTTCGTTATGTAGCTTGAGAACAGGATCGACTTTTTCTGGTCTTCATTGATTAACTTTAGAATATTCAACAATAGCAAAAGTTTTGTTCATTTGATAAATATCTGTGCTCTTTTAGGTGCAAAATTATTATTTTAATATGCGTTAAACAGTATTCAAGCTGCCGCCTCGTGCATTCTATTTTGCAAGCGTTAAAGCAATTGAGAAAATCCACCAGATGCGGAAGATTGAATTTTAACGACTCGTGTCATGTGTTTGAGCAGCGCAAAGAAAATTCATATGGCTTGCATTAAAACAATAAAGCGATTTAATTATGAAAAATTCGTGCCAAAAAAAAATCTCTTGAGGAGAGAAGGCTTTCAATTATTCAATTTGGACATACTAATTCAATAATACATTTCAAGTTGGAATACGAAGATAAGGTTCTAAGGAATTTATTTCCACTTGCCCCGGCAAATTTGTCAAGCTATCTAGCAATTCTCCTTCATCTAAGTATTTCTCCTTTCCGACGCGATAAATCATTCCTTAAATTATGTCCCGCACACCATACACTAGAGGATAGCCCTTATCCTCTTCCTGTAATTAACGACAAGTAGAGCACGTTGGCATTATTAAATGGTCGAAAGGGGAAGAAGTGTATTATTTGAAATTGTCTCTAGGAATGTTAGAGCTCACTCACGGTTGAAGGTTTTTCAGTCTGTGATTATGTAAATGAGGAAGATGGAAAATCTAATTTCAACTTACTAGTGCCATTTAACACGACTTCTTGTTCTAAGCATGATAGCTTATAGCACTCGAAAAACGAAACGGATATTTAAAAAGTGACAAATCCCCAGCGCCAGTGTCAGGACAAAGACACATTTGAAACATTATGTGCAGCATTCTTTTACAATGTGAAATGTTTAGTTTCAACACTTGTGTCATTACTTACAATGAAGGCACTAGCAATCTTCCAACGTAAGCCCCTCGCATCTAGGTAAAACACATAAGTTTAATAGCATTTTCTTTGCCACTGCTGCTGGCTCAGTCTCTGGTCCGCTGAGCATTAGTTTACGTAACATGAGGTCGGTCAATTTATCCGTCCGCAATTTGACCGAGTTTCGTGGAAAGAATTTAAATTAGCCGGTTTTTGTGTCACGGTCCTGCATTAAATGCGATTTTGCAGCCGTTGCATCTTACTTTTGAAGAAATTAGGAAACAGGGGCTTTCAAAAAATGCGCTAAGAATAGGAATTAGCAGCCTTCACAGTTTTTTGTTGCAAAGAACTATATTTAGGATTTGGAATCATTCAAGGAAAATTTTAAGTATATTGTAGTAGAACCGAAATTTCGGTTTACTTTTGAATAGAAAATCTCTGATCCGTAATAGATCACCGAACCGTAATCAAGTGCTCGGCAAGACACTTGATAACGGTCGGTGATATTTAACGAACCGAAACGTCCTTTTTTGAGACTCGCACAATGAAAATCTTTGGATTGCTTTTGCGAAAATCGAAGGATGCAAAAAAAAAACTCTGTTCAATATATTCGCACTCTTCGCAATTTGTGCAGTCGTTGATTTATATTATTTGACACGTCTGGGTGTATACCTATTTGAACCCAATACTTTAGTCACAAGTAATGTTGATTATAATAAAATAATCGTCTCATAGCCGTATGGAAAGAAATGATCAAAAACCGAAAATCAAGCAACTGGCAACCGTGTACGACTGTGTTTTTCGTGGTTTTCCAGCGATTTTATAGTGGATATTGAAAAATCAAAAAGTGAAAAATACGCCGAACGATCAGCAAAGGCTATAGGTGCATTGATAGTGCTAATAATTTAAATGAAAAATTACGTTTATATTTCGATATCTCGTGCTTTTGTTTATAGCCATACCGGTGCAACAACTACAACATTGCCAAGGTGACGGAAACTGAAATATGTGACATTTGTAACAAGGTGGTTGCAGACAATGATGAAGGGCTACTGTGTGAAAAGTGTATGGGGTGGAAACACAGACAGTGCTTGTTAATAGCTCTTAAAACCTACCAAAAAGTCAGTAAATCATCAGAAAAGTGGTTCTGTGGCCCGTATCAAAACAAAGCGCCAAAACAAGTAGCAAATAACGAAATCATGGATAAGTTGAAAATCATGGCCAAACAATACAATCACTTGCTAAATAAATATCAAGAGCAGTTACAGATAAACAAGGACATAAGAGATGAGATTACTGAAATAAAGATCCAGTTAAATAAGAGCGAGCAGAAGGAACTCAAAAATAATGTCATCATGCTGAGCTTGAAAAAGTTGGTAAAGAACTTTAAGTTGACTTATCTAATAAACATCTTACAGCTACGAGAATTGGTAAGAGAGAAGAAAATAAAACTTGGCCAATGAAAATAAAGTTTGAGAATGAAGAAACCAAAAATAAGCTCTTGAAATCACCCAGAAAAATCCGCCTAACTACCCAGTCATTGGAATTTAATGTAAATAATATTTATCAACCAAGATCTGACAAAAAAAAAACTTGGAACTTCATGAAGAATGTAATGCATTTAAAAATCAAAATGAATTTAAATATTTGTCGATAAAAGATGAGAACAAATTTTTAAGAAAAGGAGATAATACCAGAATCTTATTGATACAGAGGGAGGATCAGTTGGTAAGTGATTAGGAAGTCGGGCCTCGAGTTGGTACTGTTAAATGTAGCCTACACAAACATTCAAAGTATACGCAACAAATTAGACAACTTACAATGTTTTGCAATTGCAAATAAGTCGGATATATTATTGCTTTCTGAAACATGGTTGGAGGAAAGTAATGTTTTTTGTGTATGGGTTAGATAACTACTATAGTGCAGTGCATTCATGCAGAGTTGGTGCAAGAGGTGGAGGGTCCTCAATCTACATTAAAAAATCGATAAAAAGCCGTCTCATCGATCAGTCGGATCCAAGCCAGGCAATCAACTGGGTGTGTGTAAGTGTGGGTGACAATAACTTTAAAATAAACGTTTTATATAGACCCGCCATCTATCCATAATGAGCATAAAAATTCAAATATGTTATTAAAAGAAGGTGCCGCCATCTAGTACCTGATAGAGGCAGTTCGTAATTGTGTGTACCATGCTAATGTGAGCAGTTGTGTTTCCATGAGCTCTGCAAGTTTTTTCTGATTAGTGTGGTATAAACCTATTTTTAAAAGTCAAGTTTGGTGTTATTGTTTTTGCCTGTGACGGAGGAATATTTCTGTGAGGTTCAAAATCACGTATGGAACTTACGTCACTAAATATTTAGTTATTTAGTTTTTAATCAGTTCGATCCCATTGTTGATCAGTGCCACGGTATTTATAGTCCTTCCTGTGGATAAAGTCGCAGCTAGTAGTGTTTTTAATATGGCTGGTGGAACCAGAAGCGGCAGCAAGTCGGACGATGAGTTTATTGAAAAACTAATAAATCGAGTGTGTACCAGTTTTGTAACCAGATTAGAGGAAAAAATGGAAAAGAAATTCAACAACCTGGAAAACAAAATAACACAGGTATGCGAAAATATTAAAACATTGAGTGATACTGTTTCTACTACCGATCACAACGTGAAGGAATTACAAGGTCGTTCAGACAAAATTGAGCAATACTTGAAGCGCAATACTATACGCCTATGTGGTCTAGAAGAAACTGATCAAGAAAATTTGGTCCATGCAGTATCTCATTTTCTTACTGAGAAGCTAAATGTTTCGTGCGACACAAACGAGCTGGATTCAGTGTTCCGTATAAGTAGCAAGAAGAACAAAGACGCCAAGGGACCACGTACCGTTCTAATTAATTTTGTGACAAATATAAAAAAGGCTGAAGTAATATCGACGAAGAAAGCATTAAAAAATTCCCCGTACTCGATATACGAGGATCTTACTCGCTCTCGTTATGAGATTCTTGCAGCAGCTAAGAAGAAATATGGCAATAACCAGGCCTGGTCATCTGGTGGTAAGATATTTTTTTGGGACCAGAAGAAAAACAGGAAAACGGAGGTCATATCACTAAACCATATTTGAATTATTTTACACGTATGTTTATCGATTTGGTAGGACTATACTCTTAATTTCATATCTTGTACTACATAGTTTTTTTGTCTCTATTGTATTGAAGCGATAAATATGAATATGAATAAAGTAGGTATAGGTACTCATTTTGAAGATGTACTTGGTTTCGTACCTTTATAGATTTATCGATAGGATGCTTCCTTTTTTCTCGTAATATATTTAAGGCGTATAATTTTTAGTTAAGCTAAGGTTTATACCCTAATTCTTTGATTTATTATTAATTATTATTATTATTATTATTTTTATTTTATGTATTTTTTTTTTTGTTGGCTCATGGATTGCATGCATTATTGCTTCGCATAAATAGCTTGTATGGCTGCTAACAGTAGCGACTGTCTGAACTTTTCACATTTAAATGTTAGATCTTTGTGTTCTAGGTTTGACGCATTTGCGGAATTTGTCGCGGCGGAGCAACTCGATATTTTGGGACTTTCTGAAACCTGGCTTCACGGTGGCATTGCTGATAATGCTGTACATATAAATGACTATAATATAGTAAT